ATGTAATTTTTAAAAATTACATATATATAGGTCACAGTCCTTGAGTAGCCTTTTTACCAAATACTTATTTTTCTTTTTTACTCTTTCAGTCACTTCATGGATGGCTGCTTTTCACTTTTACTTGAGTAAAAATATGTTGAAGTAGTTCTACTCTTACTTGAGTACAATTACACCCAACTCAACAAGGGACATCATCATACTAACTTAGATCTGAAACTTTAGTTTAACACATTGCAACTACAGAAAATACTTCCTTGAAGACATATGTTATGATGACTTATTCCACTATAAAAAAAACCCAATTCAACATGTTTGCAGTTGAAAATGTTACATGGTTYGATGTTTAGAAAGAACATGTGGACACAAGCTGCCCACTGACAGAACACCAAAACAAGAGTGGGAATATATTTGTCAAAGCAGATGCACTCTGATTTCGAAGATAAAAGCTCTGTGAAGACAGTAAAAACAAAGTGGAGTGAGGTCAGAGAGCAGGATGTTGGCCATCTATGGTTTATATGAATGAGTCAGACAGCAAACACACACACACACAAAAATAAAAAATAAAAAATAGACAAGATACTGTATAAGCGTGTAACAGTTGAACCAACTGAGGGTAATAGTTGCAACAAACAGGATGAAACTTTATTTTGAARGAGCTATAGAAAGATGGCACAAACCACATTTGTCTGGGACCTCGGACAAGAAAAAATAATCTAAAGCAGCGAGTGCTGAGAAAACAAATGCCGACTACAGATGCATTTTTTTTAAATAAAATAAAGAGGAAAATAGCTGCAGGTGTCACTGTCAAACATCTAGGTTTGGTTTATGTCAGGAGAAAGTTTTTAAGAACAGAAAGCCTCTTACATTACAGCTCTACTGATTTGTTCCTGCAGCTTAATGTTTCTAATATCTCACCAAAGCTACACAGATTTCTAAACATTTGTCTCATTATCTCACATGCATCATTACAAACGCAGCTTTTGCAAGAAAAATGTCCAAACGACAGTCAGCAGCCAGGAATCTGGAAACAAACTGCAGTGAACAGACTATGTGGTTTGTGGTTCGACCTTAGCTGCAGAAGGGTCGGTCTGCAGAACCAGTGTCTGCAGGCTGACAGCAGTTCGTCTATCCAGGACTTATTCTTTGAGTCAGAGTCATCTTTATCAAATAATTTCCTCATGGTGACACCATGTGACGCAGCAGCTACAGTTAGAACAACAAAGATATTTCAAAGTAAACATCCGGCAGCTGAAATACCTTTTTGTTGAATCACAGAGTCTTATCACTGAAACTGATACATTTTTTTCCCGGTTGCTGATAAGAACAGCAGATGAAACAAGGTTCACCAAACGAGAAAAAAAAAACACTATGTCATTAAACCAGGAACGTTTTAAGTTAAAAAAAAAGTAAGAAAAAGGAAAATGATGAGGATAAGGCAGTGAAGGTGTTGCTCTTTRCCAAGCTGAGTTTGTAAAATATCCTGCATGTCTGAAACTGGTCATAAAAATAATCTGAGTCAAATTACAATCTGGCATTTTATCAATCACGGATTATTTGGCATTTAATGTCTTATTCAGGGGAACTGACCATTAAAAAATTGAAATATTTTCAGCTTGGATCATTTGTTTTTACAAAAAATCTCAATAAATGATCATTTAACAACCATATTTATAAACATATACACCAGATTATTTATGCTTTTAATGCATTTTAAAATTTTTCATTATTAACAAACTCTGATATTATACTGCCATGCCCTGTTTTTTTAAAATAAAATAATTGCATTATATGGTATACATATATTTTTGTTTAACATTAGACTCAGAGGAAGAATTACTTCTCTAAAAAAACCGACAACCTCACTCTGATTTCTTTTATCTAAGAGGATCTGCAGATYTGTTGGTTCTGTTCTTTGTTTGAGAATTTACACCGACTAAATCCTTTTTACTGCAGCTCCTTTCAGCCTCTAAAGCACTTCAACGACTTTTAAAACCATAGTAAAAGTACCCAAACAAACAAAGACACTACATTAAAAACCTACTACCATGATGAAAACTCAAAAGCCTTAAAAAAWTTTAAAAATACTGCAATTTAAAAGAATGGTTCAGGGCTCATTTTGTGGAAAAACGAAAGAAGAAACTTAAGGATGGGAGCAGAGATACAGGTGAGTTCAAGCAGACGAGTTCAGACACGCCAATGAAATTCCTGCGATCCACTTAAAGATGAGCCTTACCCTGATTCTGTTGCACAACCGACACAGAACAGCTCCCAAAAGCTGCGTCAGAGCTCTAAATTTATTTCAGAATGTCATTTAACACAAATAATCCTTGTTTGTTTCTGCTCTGTGAACCAGACTTCAGGGCTGAATTCAGATTAAAGGTTTGATTCTGCAACATGTCACAGKTTTTTTTTTGTGCAGAAAGTCCCATCAGTGTCTACACTGAAAACACTGCTGATATATCAGCAAATAAAACCTGCCGTGATTTGCAAACGTGTTGCTAAATTACATTTATAAAAGAATGCAACGTGACATTATTGTTGCAACTTGTTTTTTCCAGACAGACRGAAACCAGAACAGAAATTTCCCCTGAAATGTTGTTATTGTAGCTTAAAAAACAACTAAATTCTCACATGATGAAGCTCTAAGAAAGAAGGCAATGTTTCCACTTCAAACTCAACGAAAGTCAATTTAAACCAGATGGTAGTTGCATTAAAAGCATTCATGATTAAAAAGGTGGAAATTGTAGGTGTGAAAAACAAAGCCTTTTATCTCATTTGTAATTATGATTGATGGGTGTCCCGAGAACGGGTTTTCCCACCTGATAGCTTGTTTTGCTGAAGGCCGGACCCTAAAAGAGAACAAAGAAGGATTTATGAATGATTGTATGGAGAGTAGGAGTTTTACACTGCTGCTGAGTGGAAAAAAAACATATTTGTTTAATCACATTTGTAAAATCTGAATGTCACCATACTCACTATTTTACATTATTTATCCATAATCTATTTGTATAAAAATACAAGACTCAGATAGCTGTTATAAGTTATCACCAGGATTAAATGAGGGTYTCTGCAATCTTAAGCCCATCTTGGAAGTCTGTATATGTATAAATATAAAGGCTCTTTGTAACGTGAGCCAGGGAAAAGACTGACTACATTCTCTGGTCTAGCTGCTGAATTATTTCCTTCCAGCTACAAACAAGCAAATATTTCCAACAGTCAAATGAAAGAGGATGAGGCTAACAGGTCCCCGGGTTAACTTATCACTTACACATTTGGTTTCACGTCAAAGATTCCTGTGAATGGATTATTGTGACTACATATTATTTGATTAAGAATATAAAAAAATGAAAGAAAACTACAAAAAAGTGATGTTTTGTCAGTTAAAATAGACACAACCCCAACTTTAACACACATCTGGATGCAATGTAAGATTCAAAACAGTGATTTTACACAATCAAAGGTGACTCTTTAAAAAAAACTTCACTGATAAACTATTCAGTTTTTCTATATTTTTTTCAGTTCGAGCCTGTTTGTGAACACCTATTCACTGTTTCCTGAAAAAAAAAATAAGGATTTGACATAAATTTGACTTTGTAAGTCAATTTTGAATTTGCAGATTAGAATACCCAAACACTGACGAGCAGAATGCACCTCCTCCACCCTCTAAAGTTTCACTCAGCCATCACTCGGGGGGACAATCCCCAACTTTGATGGATGTCAGATAGAGAGGAGTCAGTCAGATGGTGTTTACAAAACATTAAACTCCAAACAGACCAGCGTCATCCTGGCTGATGTAGTTCAGAGGAGGAAGTGTGTGTGAACAGTCGGCTCTTTCTACTGAGCTGGAGTCAGAGTTAAAGACTGACTTTTTCCTTGTTTGTTTGCTACATTTGACTTCTTATTTCTTTTTGTTTAGAGAACAAACACCATAATGAKACTTTTTATTCAGTCTTTTATGTTTCCAAAGCTAAAGAAAAAAACACTAAAACCAAAATAGCTTTCAGAGTTGTAAAGTAACTAAGTACAAATACTTTGTTACTGCACTTAAGTAGAAATTTTGGTTATCTGTACTTTACTTGAGTACGTATTTTTCAGTGTACTTTTTACTTTTACTCCTACATTTTTACACAATTATCTGTACTTTCTACTCACTACATTTTTTTTAAAAGGTAAGAAGTAGAAAGTCGTTACTCCTATTTTATTCTGAGTTGTTATTACTTTAAAAAATCCTGATAAATTGTGTCTCCTGGATAGAGTGAATTTAATTGTGGTTTTAATGAGAAGTATAAATATATACCATTCTGACAACATATTAGCTTGTAC